TGTGAATTGCTTGAATTAACATAGATAGGCGATTCGTCCTTAGCCAACGACAGTTGAAGTTAAGGCGAGTTGTGAACAAATCGATCCTATCCTCTTTAATGCTCATCATTCTTTGTAATCTCAAACGACAGTTTAGGGTGTTAGATTGATTGATGAAGTGGTTGACGCCACGACAGTGGATCCTCTTATTTTTATGGTTGAGTTCTAGATTGGTTCTTAATTGATATCCTGAATAATTCCTTGGTTCTTGATGATCTAATCCCTGATATACTTTCCCTTGATCTAATGCCTTTCTCATAAATTGTTTAAACCGAGTTTACTTTAATTGCTTGATTAATCGTGACAACTTAAACCCACTTGATTGCTTAGCTGAATTGGTATTGCATAAGATTAGAGTGTATTGCTGGTCCCTTTGAACGAACCTACCTATTTTACATCGAGTTAGTGATTCTAGGTTTGACTCATAAACCGGACAAAAATCCTTTCATTAGTTATGCAACAAATAAAACGTGTGTCATAGTCACATTTTCTGTTAGAGCCACACTCCCTTCTCGATCATCAATCACTGTGTTCCCACTAGGAAATCCAACCAAACACGGTGGGACTTGTTTGTTGTATATCCACTAAACAATTCAATGTACCAGACTTATGGTGCTATGCACCACTATCAATTATTCATTCATCTTTATATCTCTTACTTGTAAAACGATTCCCAAACTCTGGTTTCAAATCCATCATACTCAAAAGCCGATCCCATTGTCTTTTTTTCAATCCTGTAACAGCATGTGTCGCTTCAGTGTGTGACACAGAACCCTCGGTGTGTGACACATAATTCGTAGCATTCATGTATGACACAACGTGTGTATGGCACATCAATATCGTTTCTCAAAGCAGCGCTTTTCGCATCTCCACTCTTCCCAATTTCAAAAGCGCTTTCCGCAGTTCCAAATGTCTCAATACTCATAACTGCAACCCAAAAATAATAATAACATTGGAGACGACTTCCTTTCACGAATCAAATATACTCACAAGAGAACCTTGGCTCTGATACCATTAAAATTTGGAAAAAATATATTATCTCTCAAAGAGGCATGAACGACTACATACAATTATATATATTAAACCCTAAGATAAAACCTAATGAACATAATAATTAAGCCCAATTAAACTATACATAAGCCCAATATAATATATTACTCACCTTAGCTTTGCGGATGATATGCTAGTATTTTTGGATGGGAGAGCAGAATCACTTCAAGGCAAAATGGATGTTCTCACTGAATTTGCTGCAGAATCTGGTCTCGCTATTAATGTGTCTAAATCCTCTCTTGGCCGGTCGCACATCACAATCGTTTCGAGACACAGATATAGGACTCGGTCTTCCAGTGGAGAAGCTGCA